AGCAATAAGTGCCGACTAAGAATAATCATAATCTTGCTGGTGCATGGGAGGGTGGAGGACTGGATCCTGATGAGAATCCCTATATGACCCCTATGAGCGCCAAGCACCAATAAAATAGTTGTCGAAAGGATGTACAAAATCCAAGTTTGAATCTACATGCTTTGGGGGCTGTCGGGCAATCTGGTCGCCAACATGGTGTTCTGATGAATTAAGGTCATGCTGGGTTCGTCGTATCAACAGGCCTAAACAGTGAACTGCGCGCCGAAACTAACCCTGAACCCTGAACCTGTAAAGCATGTGCTTAAACCCTGAAGGAACCCTACACTCTGGCACGACTCAAAGGACCTGCAGCCAAGGTGCAAGTAAATTTCATCGATTGAGCGGCGGAGGCGCAAGAGACTTTGGGCCTGATCCATAAGGGTTTAGGCTTTAGGGTTTATGGGGCTTAGGATTTATAAGGTCGAGGCTTCAGAGCCTAAGGGCTGGGTCCCTTTGAAGGGATTCTAGGGATATATGTGTGTAGATGTATGTGCATGCATGTTAGGTTTCTGGTTTGCGCGTCACAAATGGAAACTTAAACCGGGACACGAAAACTGAGGGATGGATGGGGTTAGGGTTTATCGGGATGTATAGGGTTTATCGGAATGTATAGGGTTACCGCGGCTAAGGTTTTTAAGGATTACGGATTGTGATTGAAGTACAAGATTTAGGGCTTGGGGATTAAGGCATTTCAAATCCATGCACAGATGGCGCGACTCGACTCCCAGGGGTCTGTGTGTGGCGGCACGTCTTGAGCCTCACGGATGTCGTCGGAGATTCTATCGAAACTGGAGGTTCTTCAAACGCCCCACCCGCTGTGAGACATCACGAGACCCTTCCAGATTAAACTTTCAAGTGCGTAGCAAAAACAATATGATCGCGGGCCCGCCAGGTGGCAGGCAGGCTTCAGCAGCCTCCCGGTGGCCCCCGAAACCTCCAGGGCTTTAGGCCTCCAGAAGCTATAGGGGTCAAGCAGCCTGCGAGGGCTCTGCACCTAAGGTTCTGCCCGTCAAGGGGAATATCAACGTTTTGTAAATATCTGGCCAAGGTGGGGCTGGAGCCGGACTGCTTCCCGATGGTACGGGAGGAGCCCGGGTCTCCAGGCATCCATTCTCCATCTGGGCCTCCCTTTATCTCACCCAATGCGGTGGTAAGGGCTGACGTGCGTCTTCAGTGTCTGACCACCCTTGTCATGGCCGCCTAAGCAGGCAGGATGGGAATTTAAGGTCTAGGACGTCGGGAGGGTTCATCGCCCCGGGCTCAACGAATAGGGCTCCTAAAGCCACCCTAAGCATACATAGGGATCAGGGGTTCTCGGCCCGATCAGGTATAGTACGTAGCGGCTGACATGTGAATACAGAATCTGGCGCTGGCCGCGAGGGTGTCAAAGCTGCATTATTGTTCTTAATTAGAAAATCTATGACCAGAAAGGAAAGAGAAATATACGTTGTGTTGGAGACTATAGTATGCCTATTCGAGGCACTGCTCACTGTGCTGTCCCTGGAAAAGGCTTCTTGAGCGGTCATGACCCACATCGTCCACAGCTTTCTCATGACAATCATCATCCACATTCTTTACATCAGGGCTTATGAAGGATTGGAGCTTCCAAAGTACGGGTCGCCCTTGCATACGGCATCACATGCTACGATCCTTACCATCTGGACCCCAATAAGAGCACCTAGTTTCTGAAAACCAGAGGTAATTCTGAGAAAGTCCCACATGAATTGTTTGAAACTCGGACAACAATGCGGGCTCAAAATACTGACAAGCAGCGGAACATGCGTACCAAAGGCCAAGCAGGGCAAACAGAACATCCTGATACCACTGCCTGACCTGGTAAACCCTAAACCGCATAACATAATAGTTTCCATCTTATATTTCCATTACCCCAAAATAACCCCAAAATTACCCCAAGGGGCCAAATGCTCTCCTGCATCTCCCAGCCCCAAAGTCCAGTAAGTCCAACTGTTGAGAAGGCTCACAACACGCTGACACACTGACATCCCCCCCTTACGAGTCCCAGCTTCCATTTCATGTTCCGTCTGGCGTTCCGTTTGGTACCCTAAACCCTAACCCTCACCGAACCGACCGAAAACATTCCTAAGTGCTCCCATTCTCATAGGTACCGTTTAGGGTTTACGAAGGATTTCGAATTTAGGGAGTGGGTCCCTTTAAAGGAGTTGTAGAGCCTTGTAGGGTTTAAGGCCCACAAATGGACAATTAGCTCGAAAATTGAAAAGGAGACTTTAGGATTTAGGAGTTGACAGCTTAAGTAGTAGGGATCCGCGCCCCAATACAAAGGCGGAAAAGTAATTGTATCAGGGTCCCTATATATTCCGAAAAATATCAGTACTGCTGGGTGCGGGGTCCTTCTAAGGCGTTGGGCTTAGGGACATCCAGCTCAAAATGAGGAAACAGTCCCTTTTCCAGAGCATGAGTCAAAAAAGTCAGGGTCCTGCCTTTCCTGCGCATACTGAGCAGGCCTCTCGCCGGGCTGGTGCTTTTCGATCTGACCAGTTCCCCAAGTTTCTGTAAGCCTACTTAGAGGCTGAGGAATCTCCGCAAAGAGAAACCCTAGACATTCCCAAATTCACCAAGTATGACTTCCAAAAAGTGACCCATGGCTTTGGAACCCCTCGTGTACTGTTGAATATCTTTCGCTTGTCCGTCTGCTCCGCGGCATTCGTGCAAAGTCAGGCAGCCTTCTGTGCTGACTTGGCTTGCGCGGAGCGCCCAGGAACGCGATGCCAGGAGCAAGCCTTGGCAACTTTCCGCTATAAACACACTTGGAGCATGAACATTCATAGCCGATGTTGTGAGGAGCGCCGGAGCGCCTGTAGGTACAAGGCCTGAGTGCTACGAGAGAACCGAGCAGCTAGGCCGCCCAGTAGACTCGCTTTTGAAGCACTGGCCCCGTCTCATTCAGAAAAAGACGAGTGTCCGTCTTTGACAGACAATGACCGGGAACTTTGTCCAAGTGCCGTGGCTATTGACCCGCACTCGACTTCTTCAGGCCCCGGAGTCCCATTAGCGAGGGGTTCTACAAGTCTTTCACATGTTCACAACAAGTCAAGGGCACTGAAGAAAAAAGTGTCTTTAGATTCTGTGGGGAGCGCCGCTATGGCTGCACTGCCAAACATCTGCAAGATGCATGCTGAGCATGCTGGGCGGCAGGTTGAGCAGCTTCTGAGAATACTAGCTGCTGCAACCGGATCGCGTGAAGGAGTGCGTTTTGGTGGGTCCTTGAAACAAGGATGGTAACGTATTTGGGTCTATATTGGCTCCCCATTTGCCAACCCGAATATGTACAGCCCAAAAACCTGCACGATCCGCCACCTGCGCCTCTGACATGTTGTCTGGGCAAGCGCAAAGTCACTTGGGGCTTTCTCAAGATGATCCTCCCTAAGCTAAAACCACCTGGCCCCCGTAAACCCTGATTCCAAAGTCCTGTATATCCCCATGCTCCCTTTCAAGGATGTTTCAAGAAACTCCTCTTAATCCGCAGCTCAAGGATTCTGCTGGCCTTCCACACAAACAGGTCCTCGAGCTCTGTAAGGCACGGTGTAGGGTCTAGCGCTTGACAGACTACCGCAAGTATGGGAGAGCGGATCCCCATAAGAATCCCAATATAATCCGCAATAATGATACCTACATTTCTTTCACCACTCCCAGTTAAGCAGTAGGAAGTTCGCGCGCCATGACAGCTTCAGAACAGCATCCTCTGCAAGCAGTCCTGTTGTCAGGCTTCCCTGCTAAACCCTCGTGTTTAGGGTTAGGACGGTCAGGGGGGACTCTTGCAGTACTCCTTTTGGTTTATAGCGGATTTTTGGTTATCCCAACTGGCTACCCGCCGGACAGGCAGACTAGCAGCTAGCAGCTAGCTCTGTCAGGGAAGGTTTGGCGCCAAGCCGGCTGAACCCAGGCTCAGGCTGTTCTTGGCATCTACATCTAACATGTCGCAACACTTCTCCATTCGTAAGCAACAATCTACTGTGATGTGGTGTATTGAAGAGCCAAGACAGCTAGAGCTCCACAGACAGAGAATGAGGCGAACACAGGAGCCGAGGTGCGGGCATCTGTGCTCTGAGGCGTCTCACTTCCGCTCGAATGTGCATCGGCAGGCTGCGCATGCAACTCTCTACAAGATGCATGAAGCTCAGCTGCCTGGGTTCCAAAGGTAGAAAAAGGATGGAGTACCGGTCTCGTGAAAAACAGCAATGCAGCTTCCAAACCGTTTCTTGCGTCCGTAGATGCTCCAAACAATGCTGACTGATCCGAAGACGCCGTGTATCTGGATCCGTGAGCTCCATATCAAGGAGGACAATGAGTTGAGACACGGCGGGGAGAAGGCCTTCCTGAGGGTGTAGTCGGTCGGGGTTCGGGGGTTCGGGGACTTCGGGCTTGGGGGCAAAAACGGTTGCAAGGAATCTTTGACTCTCTGCAAGCCCGCCCTAATTGGGGCACAGAGTCTTTGACGGCTTTGTACCGGATGTGGGGCAAGAATGTCACCAATAGCTCCTGTTCTCAGGCACACATGTGCGAATCCCCTCCCAATCTTAAGTAAATTCCTACAATCCTACAAGTAGAAGACTCGCCAAAAGGCCTATAACAAGGAGCCAATTGCAGAGAAGGGGTTTAAAACTTCAAATCAAGCAATCTCCAGCCAGGCCCATGTGCCAAAACAAACCAGATTGCGAGCATGAGGGAGCTCACATTCTGCCATGCCATGAACTCTGACAGCTGGGGTTTTGGTGATACTCCCCAGCATGAATAGTGACTGCAGGATGCGCATATGTTGGGGCCCCATAACAATATGGACGCAAATACTATTCTACAACAATTCTTGGTGGGCGCACGTCTTGAGTTCCGAGCTTCCAACACTTGCAGAAGCAACTAAAACAGCTTCCGAGACCTGCCATGTCATAAGCTGCTTCAAACCCTCGACCCCAGCCGCTCTTGTCCTGATCGTTGGCTAGGGCACGAACTTGCCGAAAACGCTTGTTGGGGCGGATCCAAGCCGTGTGAGGAAGGTGGCAATAACCGCAAGCAGTGCCATTCCTGTTCAGAGTCTAGTTGGAGGGACATACGCAGCTAGAAGTGGCTTACCACAATGAAGTGGCTTACCGCGATGACAATAATCGGACTCAGCCCACAATAAATTGCAAATGAACTAGGCAGGGTATAGGTTTCAGGACTTAGGCTGGGGGATTGAAGATTAAGAATTTGGGGCATAGGTTTGGGGTTGAGGGTCTGCTTGCAACTCAGACAGTACGGTCAGAGGTCTAGCAGGCTAGGATGAGATGTGTCAAAAAAGCCGCTGCTGCTGCTGCTGCTGTCCGTATTGCTGCCGCTTTGATGCTTCTTTTCCTCTTCCCCTATATCAGTAGTGTTATTATTAATCGCGTGTTTTATGCTTCTCCTTATTCTTCTGCTGCTACCGCACTGTTTTTTGTTGAGCTGTTTGTGAGCGTGTGGTGGACTGTCAGAAATTCAATGAGAGCCAAGAAGCAGGCATTTGTCACCTTTCCGGAAGTAGACACATGGCCTGCCGCAAAGCTCTGGGTGCCCATTGCTGCCTTCACCTTACTCATGTTTCTTAGGGAATGGGAACAAATCTTGAATTTTGCACTTGTGATAACTTCCCGGAATAGTAGCCTCTAATTCCTGTAGCAAGTGCCTGCAAAAACACTGAGCAGGAACATCGGTTAAGCGGGCCTGTAGCAACGTTTATCACCATTGCCGCAGCTAAGCCCTCGGCTCTTAGCCCTACAGCAGCCCCAGACCTCTAATAATCTGGTAGCTTCCACTTTCTGCTGACTCCCAACTACCTTGCCAATTTAGAACCATTCCCGCACCCCAAGTTGTAGTAAACCACCATTTGGGTGTAAGTAAGTCACTGCCCTCCCATGTGAACGAGGTGGGATTGATGTGCTCCATAATGCCCTTTGGCTCCAAGCCAGGCGGTGGAGACACACACCAGGCCAAAGCCCTGCGGCTCGCTGGCTCCTTATTCGGTCCCCTTATAGGGATATGTGACACGTATGTATATATTTAGGGCTTAGGGTTTAGGATTTAGGGTCCAGCATTTACGATTTAGGGTTTACGATCTAGAATGTAGAGGTTAAGTTATTGGGATATTCTGTGTACAAGCTGTCAGCCCCTGATTCCTTATCGAGCTTTGATGTATGGGTTGGTCTCAAAATTATGGGCCCCACCTAATATATAGGGGTACCAAAATGGGACCCTAATTTTGTGAACCACTCATATGAAAACTTCGACGCATACTGAACATTGACCCAGTCAACGTGAGACTGCGCGAACATGGCTGAATCCCACGCGAAAACGATAGATTGCAGGCTGGCCTAAACTCTCCTCACGCATCGCTTGGGCAACAATCGCACCGTGGAGCAGAAAAACATTCACGCAGGGCATCAGAAAGCGTTCAGTAGGGGGGCCAATGCCAGTGAGCGTGTTTCGGCGGCTTTTGGATTACAAGGAGATTAGGGGGGGTGCAATAGTGCTATTAGCAGCGGTTACAGCAACAGGAATAATAACAGCAATGAACATCGCAAACATGACAGCACAATTTGATGACCTCCGAGAATTTCCTTGCCTGCACAAGGCGTCCCTACGCCCAGAAGAGTCTTGCGAGACTATAAGATGATACCCGGCTGTAAGTTGGGATTTTGCTCTGCCAAGCTCTTGAAGATATACACTTCCCAGAGCCGCATGTGAGTTTCTCAACACAGCTCCTATATCTTGGGGGCACGCCTATAATTCCTGCATTATGCCATTACATCCTTAGGGTTCTAAGTGTACCCTGATCTTGAGAAGCCTCAGACCCCGGACCCAAAGCCCTAAATCCAAAGCGCTGAACCCTTTACGTCCCTAAGGTTTGGCCCTAAAGCCCTTTCTAGTTGCTGAGCTCCCTGCCCCAAAAAGAGTTATGACCGAATTGCATACACCTGGCAACCCAAAAAGGCGATATATTAGCTTCCTAACTACGAAGCCTTTAAAGCAAGGCCCCGAACCTCAAGCCACCCCTAAGCCCTTATCATCAACCTGAAAACCAAAGACCTAAACCTTAAGCCCTACATATCTTGTCATATCTTGTAACCCCTTTTACAGAAACCCCTATCTTAACAATCCCGTGGCTTCCAGTGCCTCAAGGAAGCCTTCCCGCCGCAAGACGGTCCACAAGTCTGGTAAGCCAGGTGTTGGGCCTTTCCAACTACTATTGTATATTGGGGTTATATTGGGATAATGGAAAATAAAATGGAAAATACTATCTAGGGTTTAGTCAGGTTTAGGGAAGGCTTTTAGGATTTGCTGTGGCGTGGCGCTGAAGAAGAAGTTGTCAGGCCTACAGCCTGACCATGGCCATCTCATACAATCACCCACCCCATGCCGTCAGAGGCGCCCGAACACCCAAACCTATTCCCGGCCGGGCTTGGTCAACACAATTGCCCCATCCTGACCCCAGCCCCACGGCTGTGGGGAGGCAGGCCATGCGTTTGGGCTGATGTGCGCCATTCTGATCCAGGGCAATACGCGCACGCCCAGGATCGGTGGGTTGAAAAGCCTTCAGAGAATAGAAACCAAGAATCGTGACATGATTTCAGGTACATTGTTAGACTAATGTGTATTTGGAGTTTGAAGGTCTTAGGCTTCAGGTGGAAGGTTTCGCGTTTATGGCCTGAGGTTTCAGGTTACAATCCCTCAGTCATTCCAACAGCCATTTCAGCCAGCCGTCAGGCACAGAATATACCAACAAACTGAATCATGACATGCCATCTGTAAGCTTAGGTCTTGCATTCAGCCATATTCAGCACCTGTCTACTCAATTAGCGGGAACATACCTTCAGCTTGGCCTTTGAATGGAGTTCGCTGAATTTCAGTTAGGGACAAACTCAAGCTGCAGGTCCTCTATATCTATATATATATATATATGCGTGTATATATATATATGCTACCCCCCCCCATTGAACAAGGTTTTCTGGATGAATTCCTTTTAAATTCCAGCTGGGTCAAGAGAAATCTTGGAATACTGGAATTCGGAGGTGGCTTTGCTCCAGCTAAATTCTTTTCAAAATCCAATTAGGAATCAAAGAGCAACCTAGAAATCCTGGCATCCTAGTTTTGAAGGTGGCTTTGCTTTATATAAATTGTTTCTCAAAATCAATTAGGGATTAAAACGAATTCCTTTTCCAATCCTCTCAGAAAGCAAAGAATAATCTTGGAATCCTGGAATTCTAGTTTTGGAGGTGGCTTGGCTCCAGCTAAAATCCTTTAAAACCCAATTAGGAATTAAAAAGGAATCTTGTGATCTTGGACTTGTGGTTTTGAAGGTGGCGTTGCTTTTTACATATATTCATTTTTAAAATTCAATTCAGACTCAAAGAGACAACTTGGGATACTGGAATTTTAGTTTGGGAGGTGGCCTTGCTTTATATGAGCTCCCTTTAGATTCCAATTAAGACTCAAAGAGGAATCTTTAAATCCGGTTTTGGATGTAGCTTTGCTTTATATAAATTCCTTGTAAAATCCAATTAGGCATCAAGGAAGAGGTCTTGGAATCATGGAAGTCTAGTTTTGGAGGTGGCGTTGTTCCAGCTAAGTTCGTTCTGAAATCCAAGTAGGAATCAGGCAGAAATCTTTTGGGATACTGGAATTCTGGCGGTGGCTTTGCTCCAGCTAAATCCCTTTTCAAAATCCAAGTGGGAGTTAACAGAAACCTGGAATCATGGAATTCTAGTTTTGGAGGTGGCCTGGCTTTATATACATGATTAAAACGAACTTATTAGAAAGCAAAGGTGAACTTTGGAAGTCTGGAGTTTCATTTTTGGAGGTGACATTTTGGTGTGTATTAATTTCTCTTAAAAATTTCTAAGAAAGCATAGGGGAATCTTGGAATCCTGAAATTCGTGTTTTGGAGGTGGCTTGGCTTCGGCTAAAATCCTTTACAATCCAATTAGGAATTAAGGAGAAATCTTGTAATTTTGGAGTTCTTGCTTTGGAGGTGGCTTGGGTCTATATACATTCCTTTTAAATCCACTTAGGAATTAAAGAGGAATCTTGTAATCTTGGAATTCTTGCTTTGGAGGTGGCTTGGCTCCATATACCTGCCGTTTAAATCCAATTAGGAATTAAAGAGGAATCTTGGAATCCTGGAATTCTTGTTTTGGAGGTGGCTGTGCTTTAGATAGCGGCTGCATCTTGGGTAAAGGTTGCCTCTTGGGTAGGGGTTGCCTTTTAGTTGGAGTCTTCAGGGTCTAGGTATTGGTTGGCAAAAACTGTCAAGGACAACTTTTCCTACGACTGAATCAAAAAAGCGCAAGAACGAAATGATGGTTTGGGAAGATGTGGGCCTAGAGCCTGAGATTCTTCAACACCAAGAATTCGTTGAAAAGAGTTGTGGAGGACAACTTTCCAACCATTTTCAACCAACGATCGTAAGAAAAAGTCGTACTGGACAACTTTTCCCAGCGCAACCTCAGGAGATTCTTTGGAAAACCATCAAGTCGTGGAAAACATTGGCCAGGCCAATGTTTTCCATGAATTTCCATGGAAAAACAATGGAAAACATTGGCCAGGCCAATGTTTTCCATGAATTCAAAGAATTTCCTAGATTC